GCATAAGTGGGATGAGGAGGTTAGCGGTAGGAGATGCATACAGTTTTTTCAACCCGTCTATGAGAGAGGTTGGAATTCCGAATTTGCATAGGGTTGCGAAGAGGAAGGGCCACATTAGTCGGTCGAATGCTTTTTCTGCATCGAGGTAAAGTAGGAGGGTTGTGTCATACAAGGTCATATGTCCATCTGGTATTGTCTCTGGCTTGTCTGTTAGGGATAAATCCTACTTGATATCAACGTTCTATAGGGAAATCAGGTGGAAATGGCCTGGGACTAAATGTGTCTTGTTGAGCTTCCGGAGATTGCAAATGTTGGCTTGGAGCATGTCCTGGGGTAGTGTATCTCCCATTAGGATTGCGTTGGAAAGGTTGCACAGGTGTGGGGTTAGATTCGGGGCAAATGTTTTATAGTATAACCCTCTGAAACCGCCAGGCCCTGGGCATTTGTTTGGTTTTAGTGTTTTTACGATGATGGCAATTTCTTCTGGTGTGATTGGTTCAGGTAGCTTCTTCACTGCTTCTCTGTTAAGGGATGGTAGTGGTATCTGGTCTAAGTAGTGTTAGTTGAGGCTGGGTGCTGGTGCGTTTGGGGGTTGTGGTTGTAAAGAGTGGCGAAGTATGTCTGAAACACTTTTTCTGTCTGGGTTCCGTCTGGGGCTGTAATTTTATCTATTTGTTTTTGGGCAATTTTTTGTTTTCATTTCTCATAAAATAGCTGTTTTGTCCACTGGAGGGCTTTAACAGAGTCCCTCGCCATGAATTCTTTGATATCTGCCTGCCTGGCATTTGGAGAATTGTGTTTTCAATTGTGGTATTTTGTTTTAGTTTTGTCTCGAGTTTGTCTCGAGTTTTGTCTCCAGTGTAGATTCTAGTTGTGCCAGTTGATGTTTTTTGTGGGTTGTCGCCAGGCTGATCAGAGCTGATCTCCGGATGGCTTTATGGGCTGCCCATAGTGTGCATTTTGAGTCCACTGTGTTTGTGTTCAAGCTAAAGTATTCTGTCATTGTTTCAGATTCACGGATTTGAGGGTTGTGTAACAGGGTGGGGTTTAAGCACCAGGACCACGGTCTGACTGTATTGGGCAATGTAATTGTGAGTGTGATGTCTGCATGGTCTGACCATGTGATGGATCCTGTGGTCGTGGTTTTGACCATGGGGAGACCAGAAAGAGGTCAAGGTCAATGAGGGAATGTGAACAGTGGGGGTGAGGTCAAGGTCTGTTGGGTGGTGGGATCTCCATGCGTCTATCAGGCGAGATCTGGAGACAAACGTGGAGAACATTTTATCAGCTTTGACTGTTGGGGGTTGGAGGCGTGCACGAGGGGTAGAGCGCTGTCTGTCTACTGTATGAGAGAGTGTGGCATTGTAATCTCCTCGTATCATTAAGTAATGTGAGGGGAAGAGGATCAGGTGGACCCTTAGCGAATGCCAGAATGAACTAGATGCAGTATTAGGGGTATCTACTGATGTGAATGCGTATTTATGCATTCCTATTCTGCTTGCAATTGTGACGTATATTCCTTGGGGTCTGCATTTGTTCGGTTGATGGAGAGTGGGCACGATTTGCAAACTACGATAGCCACTCCGCTCTGTTTACCTGTGGGGGAATTTGCGAAAAGGTTTGCCTTATAGTGTTGGCTCAGGAGAGGAAACGGTTTAGCCCGGGTGAATTTCTTTTTTTGTACTAAGAGTATATCTGCTTTCGATCTGTTTGCCCACCGCATGAGTTGGTGCCTTTTGGAGGGGTTGTTAAGCCCTTTGCTATTTATGGATAGGCAGGTCAGAGAGGCTAGCATGCTGGAGAGCTGTACCATATGTGGAGTACTGTTGGGTGAGTCCGCGTGTGATGTGGAGTTACAGGGGGTGTGGGTGGGGGGGTAGGTAAGTGGGGAGACAGGGGGAGGAAATAAAAGAGCGAGAGAGGGGAGAGTGAGGGAGGCAAGAGGGGAGGAAGAAAGAGAGGGAGGAGGGGGAAGAAAAGGATGACAGAGGGGGAGGTGAAGAACCGGCGAGAGGTGGAGGGGGGTAAGAGGCAGTTGGGGGTGATCTGGGCAGGGAGATGAAAAATTGTGGTGGGGGATCTCCTGTTCTTGCTATGCGGTAGCCAGGAGTTGATTGGGTGACTATGAAGGGGGGGTTACTGATGGTGGGAGGTGGGCGTGTCCCAACCAGTCAGTAATGGGGTGAGGTGAGGTGGGGAAAGACTGTGAGAAGTCACAGAAGGAGGTCGGATGTTGGGTGTGCCAGTCGACCTTCCCCTGGGTAATCGCCCGGTTGAATCTCGCTTGCATGTGGGTTGGAGGAGATGTAGGAGGGCCCAGAGGTCGGCCCTGGTGATCCAAATTGGAAGCGCTGTCTGCTTCTTTTTTTTCAATTTGACAAAAAAAGTTTTTCGGAGTTAAAGGGGGGTTGGGTACAGAAAGGAAGGGGGGGAGATTCAAAAGGTGTCACATTCATGTGCTGTCTTCTTCTTAACAACAGGTGGGGGTCCTGCCGGCTGATATAGGGCCCGTCTGTTGGTAAGAGGCCTTAGAGTTATGGAATCAGCAGGTCCCATGTTGTGGGTACATGGGCCCCGTCTGAGTCAAGTGATTGACTTTTAACCATGCGTTATAATGTGTATACATGAAAATAACCCTGTATTATAATTCCACAACAAAACATTTACAATATATACAATCTTCATGGGGGTACACCTCAGGGTCCTTTGTTTTAGCTGTGACTGTGTTTAGATGGGTACCCCTGTTAGGGATGGATCTGGGGATGGGCTAAGGCAGGGAGCTCATGTTGTGACCCCTGTGCTTGTTGCTGAGATTGTGTATAATACTTTATCTGATAACTGTTCAACAATCCGGTCAAATACCAACCTGATGGGGGTGTAGGCGTGGGGTTTAATGGGCTTGTCCAGGAGGTTCAGGTAGCGAAGGGTTTCTTCGGGAAATGAAAAGTGGGTAGCTCGTTAGTACGCTCTAATGTAGTTCACCCCAACCTTTCTTTAGCCATTAACTGCGTTATCCTTGGACTATTAATATGTATAACATGTCATCAGAATTAGATATCACGTTATCACCTTAATAGTATATACACTCCTTTGCAAGGGCGCATTCTGATGGTCCTGTAGTTTGGTCATAGTGATGGTTAGGTTAGTGTGGTCCAGTTAAGGGATGGTAGTGGCCTGCACACACATATGGATGTGAGAACCCTTAGTGTGGGGTAAAACCGGTGAGGGATTGAAAGGGGAGCCCATGTTTCAGTCCCAGTGCTAAGAGCTGAGTGGGTGTCTAAAACCTGGTGGAAGTTTGGATTTCTGAGGCTGGAGTCCCGTGTTTTGGTCCAGGCAGTTCATGTGGCGGCCTATTGTGGGGCTTGACCTGGTGGAGGGGTGAAGTTGGTGTCTTGTGGGGTGGCTCAGGCAATGGCAAGGGAGAGTTCCTTAGGGAGGTGAAAGGTAGGCCGCCTGTTAGTATGCCATAGCATAAGTGGCTTAGTGCGCTTCTATCACCAGAGGGGTATCCCGTTAGTGTTAAGGGCTCTAGGATCAGGCCTGGGGTTGTCGTGGTGAGAGTGTAATCTGGGGGATCCATGGGTCGAATCCTGAGACAGACTTTTATTTGGTATCTGTGGTATGGTCAGTTAGTCTGTTCTTTCCTGCTTTTATTGGCCACCCACGTCTGTTTGTCTCCAGTGGAGGGCAGGAGGGGGTAATCCCTGGGTCAGGCCACTGCAACGTAATCACCTTTACGTGCAAGTTTTGTAGCAATTATCATGACTTTTTTATATTTGACTCTTAATTATATTACAAGTATAATATAGAGCACTACAACATAATGTGATCTTCATGGGGGGACATCTAGGGGTCTTGCATATAGATTGTGACAACATTTAAGTTAGGATGACATCTCCCTGGTACAGGTAACTATAGTCCTAGGCAAATACCGAGTGAGTTAAGATCCCCATGTTTAGGGTAGGCTCGGTGAGGGGTTAAAGTGAGGAGCCCGTCACTCAGCCCCAGCGCTAGTGGTTTAATGAATGCCAACAATGTAACTATTTACATTGGTTAACTATCCGGTCTAAGACCAACATTGCAGAGCAAAAACCTGGTGGAGGTTTGGAGTTCTGAGGCTGGAATCCCGTGTTATGGTCCAGGCGGTTTATGTGGTGGCCTGAGAGGGACCCTTAGGTGCAGTCGGCAGCTGTTTTTTGGTGTGCTGGCAAGGCAGTACAGGTAAGTGTCTGTCTTTTCTTCTGGAGCCCTGGGGTGCGGTGTTGGTGGCTTTGGGTTTAGGGTATAGCAGGGAAATGCCGATGTGTTTGGCAAAGTCCCTAATGTCCACGACATGATGCACGGTGTAGGTTAGATCTTCTTTCTTGACGAGGAGTTTAAAGAGGTGTCCCCACATGTAGCAGTATCCTTGCTTTGTCAGTGCGGTCGTAAAGGGCTTCAGCTCCCTGCATTTTCTCAGTGTGGAGGATGCCAAATCTTGAAAGGCAGGAGGGAGTGGAAGATTGACTGGATCGTAGGTAGCAGTGTCTCTGGGGCAACTGATTCCGGTAGGCCCCTGATCCTTATATTTTGCCTGTGAAGCCGATTGTTTAGGTCCTCCAGTCTGTCCTCCAGGGACAAAATTTTATCTTTGAGCATTTCGATATCTTGATGGTGTGTCATGGATTTTGCTTGGATGTCGGAGATTTTCAGAGTGGCTAGTGCGAGAGGTTAGGGCCTCGATGTTGTCTTAATTTGCTTTTTGAGCGCGGCTGTAATTTAAGCCTTGATGTCTCCGGATGTATCCCGTAGCATCCTATGGAGGTCACCCTTTGTGAGGGGGGGTCCTGGGCCATTTGAGGTATCACTGTCATCAGAATACGAGCCTAAATCAGTTAGGCCTTGAGATAAAAATGGCAGCCCTTGATCTTTGGCGCAGAACATCGTGGCCATGGGTGGAGTGTTTTCTCTCCGTTTTTGTTTCCTCCCATTATGGGTAGGTGAAAAGGGAGGTTTGTATGCTATATATCTGTAAATCAGGTGCGAGATTTACTGTTATTGTCGCTGATGGATGCGGATTGAGCGCCCGGGGTGGGAGAGCTAAAGGCTCACACGTTTGTCTCCATTGAAGGGTAGGCTACGCCCCCTGATATCCTATTTTTATAGCATTCTAGCTCTATTACTGGTTTTGGTATTTACCAACTCGGGATTATTTTAATAATTTAATATATAACAATTGTTTCTATGATTAATCAAATAAAGATTTATTCAATTATTTTAGGATGTGGAGCGTGCAAAGGCCACAATTGTGAAAGGACTGAATAATGCAGAAGACGACATTGAGTTGAAAATATACCTCCTTTCTTTAAAAAATGCCCAGCTTCCCGAAACAATCGACCTTCTTCTTGACTATGCAGAGGATAACTCGGGAGTTGTGTGCAGTACCGCACTCTTAGCTCTAAAAGATTTTCCAGCAGAGCATATCTCTACAGAGGTAGAAAGTAATACTTGTATTTGTGCCTCAAAATAGATTTTAGTTTATAGGCTTCATAGCTATGTCACATGAACAGGAATACACTCAATATCAATTCATTCATTAGGTAGTATAGTACAATCCTGTGGCCATCCAAAATTTCTAGCCAATGATAAGGTTAAAGGTACACTCCAAGCACCTTAATCACTTCAACTTGCAGTATAGTGCTTATGGTGCCAGAAGCAACATGATTCTGTCCCAGTGGAATCTGTTAAACCATTTAAGTACAGTTTGACACAAACCTGGAGTCTACCAGGTAGCACTGATTTTCCTTCTGATACTCTCAGCCAGATGAATGCCTACATCAGCATCCAGCTTCTCCAGCTCTGAGAAGACTAGAAGTACCACAGGTGCCGAGTGGGACCCAAGTGTCATGGTAGAGTATATCTCATCTCGGAGTAATTGAACCCAAACTGAATCCAATTGAACACAAACTATACTAATACTTAGATGAGGATATATGCGTATTACCAGGCATAATGCTATTGTGGAAAGGTAAATAGTGAGAGAGTAACCATAGACAGTCCAAGGTTAACTTATACCATAGAACTGATAAAACAATAAGCCAAGGGATATCAGAAACTAGGAGAGTCACGAGTATGCCACGTAAAAAATCAGAAATAGCCACATCACAATAAAATTCGCTTTTGGGATCACAAAGGAACCACAAGAGGGCGATGTGCTTGAAGACAAGAGGAGTTTATATAGTGATTGGTACCAGAATAGTGTCCTGTGTCATTCCCAAGCACTCAGGATGTGCTTATATTTTACCACTTCCTTATTTTGATATAGGGTATAAAACATATAACGCAGGTCTGGAGTGTCTGGTGTCAAATTTGATACCATAATAATGCAGGCATGGAGTAAAGTTCTTCTTCGAAATTTAAACCAGAGGGGCACAGCTATAGGGACAAGTGGTGGTCTGCTTCAATATAAACAGGTATGGAGAAGATCTGCTAGAACTACAGGTAACCTAACACCAGGTAAGTGTCAAACAGGGCTAAAACAGTTTGACATATTACCCTGGAGCGGCACCAAACTGCTCATGGCACTATAACCAAACCATTACAGCAGGCTGTGCTGCGTGTCAATGCTTATGGTGTTTGGAGTGTTTGTTTAATATAGTATCATGCTCTTCGGCCCTCCCCTCACTCTACCAAATGTCTCTCCCATATATCACTTTGTGCACTCTCCTTTTCCTCTTCAAATTATTTTGTTCCCCAATATTATATTATTCATTTTTTTCTCCTCTTCTCTATTAGTTGGTTGTATTTTTATGCCTTTGTCCCCTATATCCCATTCTTGACTTCTTTCTATATTAATGTATTGGTATGTATCTGGAATTACATATATTTGTGCTCACATGATATCTGTCTACACAGCATCTTTCAGCTGCATAACCCCCTTCCTCTTTTTCATTAATTTATTCACTTTTATTAAGTACTTTCTATATAACATTGTATATTTTACCATAGGAGGTGAAGGACACATTAAAAAACATTTTCTATCAAACACATCAAAAGTACCATAAAAAATGTCGACTGATTGCAGCTGAGATTTTACTGGCTACAGATTATTCACACGCAAACCTGATTAAGACTTTATTGAGTGCAAACTCGATAGACAAGGAAACAACAAAACTACTGCTCTCCAAAATCCAGAACAGACTGACCTTCAAACATCCTTTAATGTAAATATACCACAACTCACTGATAGAGCTCGGCTGGAAATAACGGAATATATTGAATGATGTTCCCACATAGTGAACTGCTTTATGTTATTTTCATTTTATAGGAAACCTTCAAATACCGTTCTGGAAAATAAATATCTAAATTATGACGAGTTTTCACAGCCTGGGAGTTCCACCAGCTTCTCTGGACTTCTCACTGGTGAGGACGTTAGAATTCTAGATTTAGAACTGCTGTCTGACAAACTGTTTGAAACAAACTACACACGTTTTACATTTTATAAATACACTACAACCCCTGGTAGAACACCCACTTTGCTTTTCTTCATGTGCTGAGGAAACCTAAACATGTCTCCTAAACATATCCCTGCATTCACAGAAAACAAAAATACACACACACATTGATGTTAACACTATACATACAAGTATGCACATGTATTCACACTGACACCATATATATTAATAAACACATGTGATTACTATACTGCTACTAAAAAGTAGCATTTAAATGAACAATGTTCAGGTAAGTTCCTGCCAAAACCCATTATCTTCAGTGTTGACTCCAGGTGGAGCAGGTTGAATCATCATATGACCTGCAATCCCAGGAAGGCCTCAATTTGAATCCCACGCTATTGTGTCCATACTCCTAATGCATTGTGTCTTCCTAACTCAGATTGCAAAAAGTACCAGACCGCAGGGTTGTATTGTCAGAAATATGTGTTGCCTAAAGTGCATTCCACTCCATTCCACTCCAGTCGGGAGCTGACGTCGGCGGGGGAGGAGAGATCACCATTGCTGAGGGAGCCCGACGCTGGATTAAGGTAAGTAGCTGAAGGGGTTTCAACCACTTCAGCGCCAAGGGAGGGGGACCGTGAGAGTGGGGCACCTTTAGGGCACTGTAGTGTCAGGAAAACAAGTTTGTTTTCCTGACACTATAGTGATCCTTCAACCTAAACACCTCTCATTTACCCCACACTATGCTAAACACTAGTCCTAAGATTTTGCCAATCCTAACCTGAGCCCTGAAACTAGCAGCAACACTAGCATTGCCCCAAACACTCACCCTAGCACATTGACCTTGGCCTAAAAACACCATATAAAATTAAAGATACATAATGGTGAAGCAGGTTTTATGGGAAATGAATGCAATCTTGGGGTTCTAGAAACATTTATGAACCTCAAGACCTTTGGACTCGTTGTTTATTACGATGTCTCTAAAACTCATTCAGTGCACAACACAGCAACATTTCTTGTAAATTTCTGTTTCTCTGATGTTCATTCATTGTCTATCTAAATAATGTCTTTCTTAATTCCAGCCACAGAGAATATGGTTTCTACTTTTGGCGTGGATCTCTTGTTCACTGAGACGGGGTTCCTGAAGAAGAGTGTATCAGACATTACATTATTTGATCAAGTCCATCAGATGAAGGCAATGCAGGTCAGTTCCATTCTAATTGGCACCTTAGACACCGGCTCATTTATGTCTGTCAGATTATATGGATTAGTAAGAATTTGTCAAGAATGAGTGAGTGATTTAAATTGCAAGTGCTGCTAGTCAATTAGTAGAGCTTAGAGTAAAAGTTTTATAGTTTACCAGTAAAGTTTTACTGGGAGCAAATAAATGAGAGAATAGAATTATATATAGGTGACAATACCTTGATGACCACAGCAATGAGTATTCATGCTATAAATAGTACAAGGAGAATTAAACATTTTAATCAGGCATTCATTTTTTATTTTTTTTTAAGGCATACTTTATAGTTGTGTATTACGTGAACAATTCCTGCCTTATATTGCCATAATCCATAGTGGCATTGTGAACCTAGGGGTTAGAGCACTGTCAAAAGATATAGTGTACAAATTAAACTTTAAGTGACAGAAATTAATGATAAAGCTACTCGATTTTCATGTAGCGGGGGGTCCTACCGGTTGACGTCGGCGGAGGATGAGCAGAAATAGAGCCTGAACCAGTGCCGAGGGACTTAGGTGCTGGAATCAGGTTGCTAGAAATGGCCCTATCCAATGATCCACAATCTCCTAGTCACTATCTAAAATAAAGTTCCTACCCCCCTCTCACTAATAATAGTGAGGAGTGAGCCATAAAATCTAAAATCTTTAAAAAGAAATTTGACTTGCCATCAGTCAGAAGCCTTCTGTCTTCTAATTCTTTTTTTCATCCTCAAAAAAGGACAAATAAAAATCCATAGTTCCCAAAGCTACTAATAAACAAAAAATGTCACAATTGCAAAAAACAAACAAAAAACACTGAATAATAAAAACCGCACCACAACAATAAATAATCCATCTTCACCCATGGAGGGCTCACTGCAGAATGAGCACTCCTAGCGGGGAGAACCCTTTTACAGCCTTCCCACAATACAACAGGTATCGCAAAGCGAGAGAACATTTCCAATGCTTTGCAATATGACCAGGAGCACTCTGATTGGTTGGCTAGTAAACCAACCAATCAGAACTGTTTGACAGTCAATTCTTGAGAGAAGTGAGACTTGGCTGTCAGAGCACTCTGATTGGTTATAAGTATTGTCCTTGTGTTTTAATCTCAGCCTTTAAAGGTATGAATAAACAAAGATTTCAAGCAATAAGGGAGTTATCTATAGCTGGCAATAGACTTCCATGTTGAGGCAAATATCATAGAGAGAATGAAGGGAAGGCATTAAATGTAGATATTCCACAGACCATGAAATGGCATGTAGGTGGTGATCCTGAGACACATGACTGAGCTATGAGCTGGGATGACGGCTAGAGGCAGTGAAGCAAAAATGAAAGGAACTAAAGATGAAGTATACCGAATCTTAGGTAAAAAATAAAAAATTTATAGAAAAGTAGTTGGTCAACAAGAGGAAGTTAGTGTACTCTGCAACAATAAGATTTCAAAAGAATAGATTTTAAAACTTCTTCCACATTATTGTCTCCAAGGTTTCTATAGAAGCACAAGGATTAGAATCTCTAATAGGAGGAGGATCTGTAGAAGAAAGTGAAGATGCAGCCATGGTTGGGATGTCGGCAACTTTGTTTGATGTCCAGTTGCGTCCAGTGGTATTTTTTGAAGGTTACATGGACCTAATGTCGAAAGTGTTTTCAAGTAGTGGTGACCCCATCAGTGTGGTCAAAGGAACTGTGCAGCTCATTGACTACAATCAAGTAAGTGATGCTTGTAGCATAACATATGTTTTAGAATTACACTTCTTTCTTCATGCACCCATAGATGTGAGTTAAAAGTAGAAAAAGTAGAACATTTATTAGAAACACGATCACAACAAATATACAACGTTTCAGCATCAAGCCTTAATCATGTATATAAAAACAAGGAGTGGCATTGAGTGCCACACCAGACTACTACTATAGAAGATTTGTCTCCCGCTGGGAGTGAGCACCTGGAGGCCTGTTTTGGCTGATATATGATGATGGATCCAGTTAGTGAACACAATTTTTGGCTTATATGGCTGATTTGGCAAATATATGGTGATGGATTCAGATAATGAACACAAGTTTTCATACATCCAAGATGAAGTCCAGAGAATAGTGGCAACAGTATCCTGTAACAGTGAGTTCATACATATAAAGAATGATGGTAACCTGGCTAAAAACTTGAAAAAGTGAAGAAGCGATTTGTCAACTTTTCATTACTTAGCATTACACTAGTTGAATATTTCAAATGCAAGCGAATCATATGGGGCCTTGGGATTATACTGAGATCTACTTTATTTGCAGAGAATGAAGGATTTTGTAATTTACCTTCAAAAACAAATCGTGAGGATTACATTTGAACTACAAGAAATTGAGAATGCACTTAAAATGCAACTAACTATGAAAGCACTGAACAAAATGAATGATACATTTAATCTCAAAATGGAGAAATGAAAAGAAGAATATTGATGGCAGGAAAAGAGGTTTCTCTAGGATTTTGAAGTTTCTTTAGGATGCTAAGGACTATGAAAACTGATGGATGTACAAATGGAATAGCTATGATTACAATAGGTGCTTACCCACAATTATCAGGAGTGAGAAACCTGTACCACCGCCCAGACAGGATACTACATCTGAGAACATTGACTTGGAGACATCAGGCGGCCATCTTTTCACACATTCACTGTATAATGCGTCTTTTTTACAATTAGGCCAAAACCAGGACGGGGCGAAAGATATATACATAGGTATATATTTCGTTAGACTCCTTGTATTTGTTATACATGATTAAGGCTTGACATCAAAACACTGTATATATGTTGTGTTCCTATTTCTAATAAATCCAATTTGAGGTTTCCATCCTGTTAAACTTGTGGATTTTCAACTTTTGATTGTCTGTTTGGAGGCTGCGGTCCTTCACACCACAGTGTACCAGGTGGATCTTGGGTTCACTATTTATATTCCCTTGAGTGCCACACCAGACTACTATTGAAGACTCATATTTGTGAGATCTGTATTGTTCTCTGTCAATAGTAGAGTTTTGTGATCCTGTGTATATATTAATAAAGTAATTTTGCGGTCCACTGGTGGAGGTGCATGCGTGGATGACTCTTTCCCGACTCCGTATACAGATCTTCATTGGACGAGGGATGAGCCAACATGTAGGGATTTCTGGGTCTGGTGGCGTGAATTTATGCTATTTAAATCAGGAGGAAGGATCAATTTTATTTCCTGCACAAGTCTGCAGCATTATCAGATGATATGTATTGAACCAAAGTTTGGTATATGGAAATTATTTACGAATTGTTGAAGGTGAGCTGCCCGTCGAGCTTCCCAAGTTCTCCTGTGCAGAAGTGAAATGCAACGGCCTCCAGTTTAACAAACGGTGGATATGCAGGTTTCTACAACCTCCAGACTTCACAATACTGTTTCGTGGAACCATTGGGCCTGTTGAGGCAAAACAAATTGCACATCCAGGGGCCCGGTCAGTGCGGCGGCGCTTTAACAGCACGAGCAGGCCCCCTTCGATGAGAGCTGGGAGGAAGAGGATGAGATGTGCTGTGGGGGATAAGAAGGAGAGAAGGGAGTCAGAGTGGGAACTCTGACTCCCATCAGCCTGAGCCAGCCACTGGACCCCAGGGCCACTTCTGCACTTAAAAAGGTAGTAAACAAGAGGGTGCCTAAAATGTTTTGCAAGTGTGTGTTTGTGTATCTGTGTCTGTATGTATGTATGTCTGTCTATGTGTCTGTGTGTGATTGTGTATATGTGTGTGTCTGTGCGTGTGTATTTGTGTGTCTATGTATGTGTGTGTCTGTGTTTGTATGTTTGTCTGCATTTATGTATGTATGTGTATTTGTATGTCTGTGTATCTGTATGTCAGTGTGTGCCCTATGTATCTGTATATGTGTCAGTGTTTGTATCTGTAGGAGTGTCATTCTGTGTATCTAAATGTGTGCCATTATGTGTGTCTGTGTATCCGCATGTGTATGTGTGTATATAAGTGTCTGTGTAACAGTGTGTTAGTTTGTGTGTGGGTATATTTGCATGTGTGTTAGTGTGTGCATCTGTGCGTCTGTATATGTATGTGTGTCTGTGTTTTAGCATATGTGTCCGTTTATGTATTTGTATGTGTTATGTGGTGTGTATCTGCATGTATTTCAGTGTGTGCTTGTTTATCTGCATGTGTCAGTGTATGCACCTGTGTGTCTGTGTAACTGTCACCCCACCACACACACTGTCACCCATCTTCACCCTGCTACACTAACGATAAGTCCCCCAATCCTGTCACTCATCCATGCCATACTCGCCTCCCATCGCTCTGCCATAGTCACCCTATTACACTCACCTTTTCTAGCACTGTCACATTTACCCCCCCCCCCCCAATCCTGTCGCACTCATTCTCCATCACTCTGCCACACTTCCCTCCTTTCACCCTGCTATCAATCTGCCATACTCTCCCCCCCCAACCATGCCACAATCATCCGGTGGGACGTGAATCAGACACATGGGAGGGGGCAAGGGGAGGGAAGCAGGGCAATTTTTGCATTGTGGCCCCATTGTTTCTAGTTTTGCCTCTGGTATTATGTATGGTATGTATTCATTTCCTCTCATTGGTGATCTGGGTTGTCTGGTGATTTTGTTTGTTGTATTTATGAAGACTCCATTAGGGGGTGATATTTAGAGTGGCTGCATTCCACTATTTCTTTAGTGTGTCCACCATCCTTCTACTTAAAGGACCACTATAGGCACCCAGACCACTTCAGCTCAATGAAGTGGTCTGTGTGCCAGGTCTCCCTAGTGTTAACCCTGCAGCTGTAAATATAGCAGTTTCAGAGAAATATAGAGAAACTGCTACGTTTACATTGCAGGGTTAATCCAGCCTCTAGTGGCTGTCACCCTGACAGCCACTAGAGGCGCTTCCGCGATTTACAGAGTAAATCACACTTATTTGACATTTCTCAAAAAAAGATCCCCAAAGGAAAGCATTGAGTAATGCTTTCCTATGGGCGGGTTTGAATGCGCGCGTGCCTCTGGCCGTGCATGCGCATTCAGCTCCACTTGGGAGCTGACGTCGGCGGAAGAGAAGAGGTCAAGTGGCTGAAGGGGTTTTAACCACGTTTGTTTTCCTGGCACTATAGGATCCCTTTAAAGGCAGCACTGGTTTCTTTTAGTTTTGTTTTGTAAAATTTGAGTAAATAGTTCATATAACAAGCTTTTTATGCAACACTATACTATGAGCCCGAGAACATTGCACATTGGAAATGTTTCATTCGCAAGAGGATATATCAAAAAATATATTGACATGTGGGATCATACATATGATGAATCTCAGCATTTGTTTACATGAAATTTCTACACTTTTTACTTTTTTTGTACTTTGTTATAACCTTAAATAAAGATTATTTTTTAAAAAGTAATTGCCAAAATTGATTAATTTCAGTCTTTAACAGTAGAGACCGTTTACCATCATGCATCTTATGTGACCTACAAGAATGCGGTTGTTTTTCTGGCTTTTGACCCTGTATTCACAACAATATACTAAATCAATAAAAAGCAACCAGGGTAATAATGGCTTCTTGATTCAAGGATTAATCGGACTGGCATGAAGAAGGATTTATTTTCTTAGTTTGTTGCAAAATTGGAAGTGTTTCACACTGGTTTTTTTTGCCTTCTTTTGGATCAACAACAAAAACCAAATGTGAGAAAGGCTGAACTTGATGGAGGCATGTCTCTTTTTAGACTATGTGACTATGTAACCATGTGACTATGTAACCATGAAGTAACAGGACTGGCTGTATGATTGACAGCAGGGGGCTGTTACTTCAGGGTTGTAACAAGGTTGATTTATAAATGTGCCAAATTCTCTTGAAATCTGAGCTTTTTATGAAATGAAAAAAATAGGACACACTTCACACATAAAGCATTTCAACAAGCAGACGTGATTTATGTGTTTGGAGTGCCTTTATTGTTAAATTTTTCAATACACTTGAAATGAAACACCCTAAACTTTGTTGAAAGTAACTAAAGTGTAACTGAATAAGGCAAATATATACATTTTTAAAATATATATATTTTTTTATATATGGTTAGAAATCCAGTTTCATGGCAAGATATTTGGTCTTTGCCTACTAGTGAAAAAGCTGAAAAGTACATTTCCTCTACTATCTTGTAAGTTGGACTTGTAGATGCTTCCCCAAAAAGTGAGAACGTGCAGGTCCAGAGTGCTGAACGTGGCCATGCATGCATCTCACCAACATGCTGTGCATATTAGATCCAGGAAGTGCAATTCATGTTTTCTGATTGTAAGGGCTTGTAGGTGGAGCTGTGAGCTCTCCTTTAAAGCCTTATTTTTTCAGTTTGAGAAATTCGTTAACTGAAAGGCTGCAGGGGTACCACTTAAATAAACTAGGCCTAAAACTGTATCTGTCTACAAAACTTAGTGATGGCAAATCCACTACGTTCCCACATTTGGAGGCTACAGCGAGGCTGCAATGAAAGATTTTCCATAAGGAACAAGCAAACAAATCTTATAGTGTCATATATTCTCTTGGGGGTCCACGAAAACGGAAAACCCGATTAATGCAAAATATAACAATATAACTAAACGTTGCACTTGACCATTTGGTTAGATTATTAATGGAATTGCATTATTGTGATACATGTTTTTGACAAACAGACACAAACATAAAAATGCACATAAATGTAAACTTTTGTTTTCTTATCATTTATTGTTGTTTCAAAATAAATGTTAACAATATTTTTTGATTGTGTTAGAATTTTACATCTTGTTTTATTAAATTCTCCTCAATTTTCTTGCAGCGTTTGCCATTGCAGTCCGGGTTACAACCTATTATTGAGTGCCAGGTTGGGATTGGACTGGATATCTTGGCCAAAATTGATGTCATCCTTTGGGAGCAGAAATGTAAAACGAACGTCAATACCACGTACGATATTTTTAGACTTAAAATGTTAAGAGAACAAACCTATATATCATTTCCATATTGAAGGACTGAATTTAAAGGGACACTATAGTCACCCTGACCACTTCATCTCAATGAAGTGGTCTGGGTGCCAGGTCCCTCTAGGGTTAACCCTGCCTGCTGTAAACATAGCAGCTTCAGAAAAAATGCTATGTTTACATTTGGGGTTAAGCCAACTTCTAGTGGCTGTCTTCCATTTAATGCCTCCATTACGCAGAGCGTCCTTAGGAATGCATTGAAAAATGCTTTCCTATGGACACTTTGAATGCGCGCACAGCACTGCCGCGCATGCGAATTCCGCTCCGCTGACGTCAGACGGGGGAGCTGACGTTGGCAGGGGAGGAGAGGTAAGGGAGCCCAGCGGTGGAAAAAGGTGAGTAACTGAAGGGGTTTTAACCCCTTCAGCGCCAGGGGAGGGGGACCCCAAGGGTGGGGACACCCTCAGGGTACTATAGTGTCAGGAAAACCGATCTATAGTGATCCTTTAAATGAATCTGAGAATATTATACTTATGGGGGACATAGGTATATTTCTAAAAACACACATTCCATTATTTCTCAGATTATTTAGGTAACAATTTCACTTTTCACACTCACATATCTGGTCTGACATTTAGCGGTAGCTAAAAGCCTATAGTCTGTTAGCAATTCTTTATACAGTGTGTGAAGTTAGAGAAAGATGTATTAATTTCTTTGTCCAGATCTTATAATTTTCATTATATTTTACAGTTAAAGGCATATATTATAAGGAGTCCTCTCCTTCTAATGCGGTTTTTTTGTTGCTCAGATCACATAGTACTGTCAGTGGCTGAGCTGTGTGCGCATACCTTTTTGATAAGGAAGTCTTTTTCTTGAGTGAAGGGGCGTGGCTAAAGAGGCTTATTATGTAGTTTTCTTTAAAAGCTCTATTTATTTTATGCAAAAACTAAAGAGATTTTAGATTGAAAACCAGAGTAGCCGAACTGCAAGCTGAGCTGACTTAGAGAATCTTTCTAGTTTGGCTAACAATTAAAACTCACCTTAAAGTCGCCTTAAATTCTCACTTTAGTCAGGGGCGTACCTAGAGCATTTGGCACCCTGGGCGGGTCCTATTTTTTTTTTTTTTCTTAAACAACCAAAATTTGTTTTAATGTATTTAGCACTGAGCAGTGTTTGTGTGTGAATGTATGCATGTTTTTGTATGGAGTATATGTGAGTGAATGTAGTGGTGTGTTTGTATGTAGTGTTGGTTTTTGAATGCAAGCATGCATTTGTGTGTTGTGTGGTATTGGAATGCAGTGATGTGGTTATATATAATGGTGAGGTTTGTATGTAGTGTTGACGTTGAAATGCATGAGTGTATTTGTGTGTAGTGTTGGCGAGATTTTGAGATGTCTGCACATATACACATACACATACACGGACATACACCCATGCAGATACATATACACACACGCAGAAACACTGTGCTCTGCATGCTGGCATCTGACAACATATCTGCATATAATTCACATTAGCCACCCAGATTTTTTGTTGTGGGCTGGCTGACACCTGTTAACTTCGATCTTTGTTTAGCAGATAACTCCCCTATTTGCTATCCTTATGTGGGCTTGCAATATTTAAGGACACCAAATAAGGGAACTATCTGCTAAACAGCACCCTCATTTGGTATCTTTAAATATGGAAATCTCGCAGACGGGCACCAATTCAGGGAATTACCTACTAAACAGCTAAAGGATCAAAATTAAAAAAGCCCTTTTCTTATTTTCAGTTGTTTAGTAGATAAATCCCTTATTTATCCTTATATTAGATTGCAATATTTAAGGACACCAAATAAGGGAGCTATCTACTAAACACATACACAGAGATCCACACATTCACAAACATAATCACATACACACACAAACAATCACAGACCCACACACATACAATCACAGACACACAATCATATACACACACAAACATTACATACATACACACATTTAATAAATAAGAGGTCCACCCAGCCTCCCTACCTTGCTCTAGAAGGGCTGGAGTGGATCATCAGTCCGTGGTGGTCAGTGGTTGCTGCTGGGATCTCTGTGCTCTTCCTGCATAGGTCCCTCGCACGCCCTGTAATGACGCCGAGGCCGTGATGACACCATATCCCGGGTGCCGTCTCACTTCAGGGCGAAGACTGTCAGACAGTCAGATGCACACAGTCTCACACACAGTCACAGGCAGACAGTCACACATACACACACACAGTCACAGACAGTCACACATACACACACACAATCACAGGCAGATAGTCACATAGGCAAACAGTCACACATACACACACACAGTCACAGACAGTCACACACACACAGGCAGACAGTCACAGGCAGACGGTCTCACACACACACACAGGCAGACAGTCAGTCGCACAAACAGTTACAGACAGTCACCAAATAAGGGAGCTATCTACTAAATACATACACATAGATACACACAATCACTCACATAATCACATATATACACAAACACAATCACAGGCAGAAAGTTACACACACAATTACAGGCAGACAGTCACACACACACAGTCACAAACAGACAGTCACAGGCAGACAGTCACAGGCAGATGGTCTCACACACACACACAGGCAGACAGTCGCACAAACAGTCACAGACAGTCACCAAATAAGGGAGCTATCTACTAAATACATACACAGAGATACACACAATCACTCACATAATCACAGATATACACAAACACAATCACAGGCAGACAGTTACACACACAATTACAGGCAGACAGTCACACACACACACAGTCACAAACAGAGTCACACACACAGTCACAGACAGTCACACACACAGTCACACAGACAATCACAGGCAGACAGTTACACACACAATTACAGGCAGACAGTCACACACACACACAGTCACAAACAGACAGTCACACACACAGTCACAGACAGTCACACACACAGTCACACAGACAATCACAGGCAGACAGTCACACAGTCACAGATAGTTACACACACACACACAGTCACAGTTACACACAGCACACACCCTCTCTCTCTTACAGTAGGCTTGGGCTGGAGGAGGAGGGGATTCAGTCCCTCTTGTGCTGTAGTTGCAGGGACTCCTTCCTGCTTCCCCCCTGTGTGATCAGAAAGAGGCTGCATTTAGCCCCGCCCCCACATACAGATTGGCTCTGCCCCACAGCCATTCTAGCTCCGCCCCCAACTCTCCATGCAGTCAGCTGAGCCAGATTACCTGCTCCTGCTCCCAGCCCCTGCGTGTGAGCGTGTGTCAGGCTGCCCCGCCCCTGCTGCTATGGAGCCCGGTGCAGCCACACAGCTCACTCACTCTCAAGCCTGGTCAGCCCTGATGGCACCTGACTGCCTGATGGCACCCGGGGCAGACTTTAGTGAATAAACGTAAGAAAGTATTAGAGTATTTTTGGGTGTTATTCTCTCAATCACAAAGAGGGATGCAAACCCCCTCTGTGTCATAGTGTTTGCCAATTACTCTTACCCAACACTAAATCACCCAACACACCACCCAATGCCCCCATTGAACCCACAACGTGAACCTTCATCCCCAACAAAAATAATCCAATGGGTCAGATTGAACAAAGTACAAACAGCTATCATGGCTAAACAGCACTGAAGGGTTTAATATAAATGTGAAAGATTTTTCTAGACTAACAAATATCAATAAAAAAGAGAAAATGAACAGCTCAGACACAATATACCAATACACTAAAATCCTGCGATCAGAAACAGACAGGAATGGTTTAAATCTTAAGGGATTTATCTTTAAAAATGGTTAATTTTAATATAAAACGGGAGGAATTCTTCAAAGAATATACCGAACAGTAGAATTGTACTGTCAAACTGAACACAGTGATGGGAACTGAAAGGGTTATTTATTTATTAAATCTCCTAATACATTCATGGTAAATGCTTTCAGACCAAATCCCTCTACATCTCTCGCCTTAGCTCGGAGTGGGGAGAGAGGGAAGCGGAATTGTCTTTGTCATACGTGATAAAGCGATTGCTTTGACTGATATTTACTGTGATCGCGTACATTTACCGCCACCGGTAAATCAGGAAGTATTACTTTACTGAGAGGGTAGTGGATGCATGGAATAGCCTTCCAGCTGAAGTGGTAGAGGTTAACACAGTAAAGGAGTTTAAGCATGCGTGGGATAGACATAAGGCTATCCTAACTATAAGATAAGACTAGGGACTAATGAAAGTATTTAGAAAATTGGGCAGACTAGATGGGCCGAATGGTTCTTATCTGCCGTCACATTCTATGTTTCTATGTTTCTATATTTACCGCCACCGATCGGATACTGGGGGCTGCCTCAACTGCAAAGCACAACTTAATTAAATGCAGGGCGTTCGATGACAACCAAGGGACTTTAACGCACACCATTCTAGGATTCTAAGCTTTGAACATCGTAGGCAGCTCAAGGGTTAATCTACTGGGGAAAGAAACCTGTTACACTGACTTACAAATCAACCTAAAACAGAAAGTAGAGAATTATTTTATCCTCCACAAGAGGGAGCTCTTGGTGCATTTTGCTGCTGGACTCAGAGATGCTGAGCTGTCAGTTTTAACATAACCTTGATTATTGCTCTTGTATACTGTTAACAGTACACATTAGGGGCAAAGTGGGTGAGAGGGGAGTAGAGGGGCCATGTCCCCCCTACATTATGCAGTGCCCACCCTTGTGCCCCCCCCCCCCTTTGAAATTGAAGCAGCACTGGGTCTCCTTTCACAAGCAGCAGCAGTGCACAGAGGCGGGTGGAATTCCCACGTGCTGGGAGGAACTTATTGCTGGGTCACATAGAGGAGCGCAGGGGAGACACCGGTAGAGAAATCCCAGTTCTACCTGGGGGAATTAGGCACCCAGGTAGCTGCTGGTAAGTGGGAGTCAGTGTGTGTGTGTGTGTGTGTGTGTGTGTGTGTGTGTGTGTGTGGGGGTGGGGCGGGAGGGGGTCAGTCTGTGTGTGATGGGTCAATCTGTGAATGTGTGTGTGTGTGTATATATATATATATATATATATATATATATATACATACACATATACACACACACACATACACACACATATAGTCAATACAACGCTAAACAAAAATCTGCACACCAGTCAAGCCATAAGACTTGCTTTTTGTCAGGTCTCTGCGGGCGGCGGTTTGCCGCGACTTCAATTGTACCCTCAGCGCAAGCGCGCCGCTCAAGGTACCTCCACACTTCTGCTTTCCGCAAGTGGCGGCTTACAGTGGCCATGCGCCGCTCGCGGATATGACAGCTCCCCCCCAGTGGCCTTCGGGACGCTGCACGCAAGCGTGCAGCATGTTTAAATAGGCGTCCAGGTCAGGCACCTATTTAATAAAACTTAATGATTTTTTTAATTGATGCCTATTGATCGATTTATTAATTTTGAAAGTTGCACTTTTTTTGTCTAGCAGAGCAGCCATGTTAGGTCAGACTCTACTTAGCTGCAAATAAATCCATATACATCATAAAAATAAAACATTAAATAAACGTAAAAAAAAAAAGGGAATTCGAAAAATCCTCTAAATGTATTTCACATTCACTGACCTTTACATTCTGACGTTTAATTACCAGATTGCATTCTGCTAATCAAGGTCATTTAGACAAAAAACTGTCAATGTGCTTAAAGAAATATCACATGCCTAACTGAGACTGTATTCTCTGGGAATGTTGGCTAACCTCTGGGATACCACAGATACCCTGCACTCTTACAACTGATTCATTTGTAAAAGTGAATGTGCTTAAAGAAATATCACATGCTTTAATGAGACTGTATTTTATGGGAATGTTGGCTAACCTCTGCAATACCAGCTGCTGTATACTCCAAGTCACTGTATACTCAGCTAGCCATTAGGATTATAGGCCATAACATCTGGAGAACTGATTGATGTGGTACTGCCCTCTTACATGTAATGTAAACGATAAAAAACAAAATATTGAGATTTTATATACTGTATCATTGACTGCTCCCAGGATGATGGTATGGGCCAGCTGCTTAGTTTTTTAACCCCTTAAGGACCAAACTTCTGGAATAAAAGGGAATCATGACATGTCACACATGTCATGTGTCCTTAAGGGGTTAAAGGTGTTCTACCACATCAGGGTGTAACAAGTCTTTATACATCTTAGGGTCATTCACTAAAGCGAATTTCAATATTTAGTCCAAAATAGACGAATCAGAAACATTCTGTAAGTCAATTGTGCCTTTAGTTTGGCTTTTTGGCCTTAAAGCGGCACAGTCACCATTTGAAGACTTTGCTTTTTGGCCTTAAAGCGGCACAGTCACCATTTGAAGACATTGCATAATTTGCTAAGTTAATTGGGTACGGTTGCTGGGGGCAGGGGGCAGGGGACAAGAAAAGGTGAGTTTTGCTTACCTGAATCTGTCCCTCACTGGCGATACCATCTTTTTCCTCTTCTGCTCCTGGCGCTTCAGGAGCCAACTTCACTGCTGTACTCTCTCGCATCGATGAGAGTACAACATTAAGGTCTATGGAGGATCACTGAAAATCACGGATGCGGCCTCTAGTGGTTGTCAGGGAGACCACCACTAGAGGCTGGATTAACCCTGCAATGTAAACATAGCCGTTTCTCTGAAACTGCTATGTTTACAGCAGGCAGGGTTAAAACTAGGGTTTACCTGGCACCTTAGATCACTTCATTGAGCTGAAGTGGTCTGGGTGCCTATAGTGGTCCTTTAAGTGAAATTCCAACACAGCCGATATGATTATATCACTTTGAACTACCAATGTTTCACAATAAAGTGTCCATCAGTGTCGTATTAGTGTCCTACCAAAGAAAACTAAACCTTTCATTCAACTAAGATTAAAATATTCAGTTTGTTAAAATTGTCCAGTAAATATGAATCAGTGTAGAGTAGACATTACTGATTTTGTGAAAGGAGGGTTAATGTATGGGTTGTCTATAAAATGTTATCACTACACAATGAAGTAATCTCGAACATGCAAATTAATACACATATATTTATATTACCTATATACACATTGTACTAACCAAATGATTCTATGGGGATATTTATCAAATTGCATCGTTATTGTGATTGCTTTTTAGAAGATGCCTCATTGTGTTATTAAAAGGGACACTCTGAGCAACATAACCTCTAGAGCTTTTTATATTGATTATGTTCCATTGAGTATCCTGGGGCCATAAAACAGTCTAATATCAATCCATTTATTTCGACTTAAACTGGACAATATGCAATTAATTTGCTATTCCCCATTGTCAATGTAAGTTTTGTTCAACTTGAGAGTGGTCGGTTATATCTCCAGGCTCTGTAAATTGCACCCAAGGGTGCCTAATAGGCTAGATTGGAGGTCCTATTGCGCCCAAGGGTGCCTAATAGGCAATAGGACCTCCATTCTAGCCTATTAGGCACCCTTGGGCACACTATACAGAGCCTGGCACAGCTCTGTAATCTGTGAGTGTACTTCCATACTTGATATTTAACTATTGGTCATCACAGTATACACTATGTGCTGCTTTTTTCTCTTTTATTTTAGGATATATATATATATATATATATATATAGAAGACAACAAGTAGAAAGGCTGCTCTCCGGATTTAAAACAAAAAATTTATTTAAACATATTTAAAAACCACGACCAACGTTTCGGTACCCGCTCGGGACCTTCCTCAGGGTCAAAAAATAGAACAACAGAACTGTTCTGTTGTTCTGTTTTTTGACCCTGAGGAAGGTCCCGAGCGGGGACCGAAACGTTGGTCGTGGTTTTTAAATATGTTTAAATAAATTTTTTGTTTTAAATCCGGAGAGCAGCCTTTCTACTTGTTGTCTTCTACATGCTTTGGAGCTCTGGTGGTGCGCCCGGTATTGGACCATGTTGCAAGCGTGAGTGCAGGGGACATTTTGATTTTTCTATATATATATATATATATATATGGAACATAAACTATATATGTCCACATATGCATAAGTATTTTTTCCTTATTCATAGCACTGTAGCCCTTTCTGCACGGGAGGGGGTGTGTATACTTAGTGTGTGTTCTTATCTAAGTATTTCTAGTAACCCAATACAACGTTTAGATACAAACCTGATAATATAGATGTCCAGCCAAGTAATTTGTTCTTAACATTGTGTATACCTTTGTTCCATTTTCCCAGGGCTGGGCTTGTTTTGGAGTTTAACACAGGACTAGACACCTCATTCTTTAAAACAGACTTGAAGTCACATGTTGAAGCAGAAACCACAGTAAGCTTGGATTCCATGATGGCATTGGTAGACTCTCCAATGAACCTCTGCCTCGAGTTATCTCATGGAGACCTTCCATATAGGTAAATAATGCATTTAAAGTTTCAAATGTTTTTGCATTTGCCCCAAAACCAACTAAAACTCAGCTCCGGTAACTCGCCACGAACCCCCTAAATGCTATAATTGAATTAACATGGGCTCTGGAGTATAGCTGGATCTTGTTTACCTGAGTAAATACTTTGAAGAAATAATGAAGAAATATGAACACTGTATCCCTCTTCTAACACTGTCACTAAGTTTAGTGGGACCAGAGCAGAGGACGAGGCTCTGCATGCTCCTCGGCTTGGTTGGTAATTAATGTTGCCAGCAGTGTGCAGTTATTGGAGATAGTGGAGATGTGATGTTCAGTTACCACTCACAGTATTCCCTTAGAGCTCCCTGACAGACCAGGCAAAGAAATCTTAAGATCTTCTCTTCTGTGGTCCTACTTAGTCATACTACAATATTGGTAGGTTTGAGTAGGGGGTAAAGGGGCTCTCAAGGGTAAGGAGCTTTTAAGAGACAGACAAGGGGTAAGCGTGGATTATGGGGTTAGAGGAGACAGCATAGTTACACAATGGGTTGAGGGGATGCAAAAATACACAATGAAGTGTCTGCCTCTGGAATGACACAAAACATTTTACATTCTAGTGGTGAAGGCCAAAATAATACTACTTCAGAAACCAAATAACCTAATGAAGGCAGTAAGATGGTTAAGCTTGTTTAAAGTTTGTTAGGTACACAGATATGTGCGGCAAAACATTTAACCGGGGTCTTTCTTCCTGGCCATTGTAAGATAAGTCTCGGTCTATAAGGAGTGAAGTGCGGGGTTGTACCTGTTAGTACAATATACCAGAGCTGATTTGAAGCTATGACAAATTTAAGTGTATCTAGCTATCTTCAATTATACACTATTTCATTAAACTGCACCATTGGATTTTTCTCTGCCATTTGTTTCTCATCTCCTTTGATACTGAGAGGCACATCTTCCATTCTTCTATCAAAATACCAAATAATCTCAGTTCGTCTCTAAGTGGGACATGAGTGGTGCTTGTCCACTAGCTTTATTTTTATACCTTACACTGCCATGTGGTGTAAGAGTACCAGAAAGATCATATTCTTAGTTCCCTCCTAGTTAATAGATAGGAAACAAGATGTTAATGGCACACTTCGATATTTTGAAAAAGAGAATTACTACATCAACCTATCAAGTCTGTTTTCACAGATTTTATTGCTTCTAAAATTGTAGCAGAATGTATGCTCTTTATATACTTTTATGCCCTGTTGTTCTGCCATCACCCCCATTCGTTTACCGAAACCCCATCTGTGTGGCCCCCTTGGTTGCACCTTCTAACAACTGACCACCCCTGCCTGTTAACCAAAAATTGCTCGTTAAGGAATGTGTTTTCCCTGTGTGAATGCCATTCATACAACCGAACACACGTGTGCAAACAAATGGCGGCCATTTTGTCTCCCGAACGTGGGCAGCGGTACATGGTCATCGGCGGAACTATTTTCGGCTACACGACCCTGTGAACACCCAGTAAACTGGTACTGCTGCCCATCCAACTTACCGAACAGTTATGAGAACAGCGTTCGGGAGGCATAAACTACCGAACAGGGGGAACATTCGTACACTAACCGCCAGGGGGACCATTCATCGGTGTTAGTGCGAGAACCCCCGAAAGATGACCGGTCGTTACCTTGTTTTCTCTGGAACTGTTTTGTGGCATCACCTCGTGGCCGCCCGGTCAAAACTTAAATCGAATGGCGTCCCCAAACCACCGAAGGGATCTGAGTATTATTTGGGCAAAGAGTGCACTCAGATCCAAGCTATTCGGTGATGTGACTTTTGTGGGGTTCTGAAATATTAATATGTATTTTTGTTTTGTTTTTAATTATTGTAGATTTTTCTGTACCTGAGAGATAATTGAGTTATAGATTCTTTCACACAATTATATCTCAGGCACATAGGATCCTGGGAGGAAAAGCCCTGTATTTTTGTGTGAGAGCCCCCATGTACAGGTCAGTGCATAAAAACCATGAGTGGCCAAAATAAAATCTGTTGACTCCCAGAACTGTGTGTCGTTCAGTTACTGGGGGCAAAGTGTCTTGGAATATTTTACTGCTTATTTCAACTACGAGGACTAAACAGCGGAGATACCTATGCTAGGTATTGGAGCTCCGCTACAATTAATATTATAAAAGTATAAATAAGGGGGCAAAGCTAACCAGCCCTATGAGCATACACATTGCTGCCGAGCTCAGGATACTTACTCAAATTTATCAGGGAGCAGTGTGGGTAAGAGTTCCCATGAGTCCCAGCCTCCTGCTAGCAATGATAGCAGATATATTGACCTACTTGCTCAGCAGAATAGGACTCAAATACTGGATCTGATGGTTGAATCTCATTAGGACTTCATGTCAGCCTCTAATGATGAAGAGCTGGATATACAGGAGGCCCTATCTTGCCCCAGGAGCAGCCAGATCTCAGAAACAAACCAATCTAATTTGGCCACCAACAGTGACATTTCAACCTTAATGGCTGAACTTTCAGCAGGCTCCACTGCAGCTCAACTACAAGAATTAAGAAAAACTTGTACTTTTTTTGACTACAAAGATGGAATAAGGTGCAAGGATCAAGTGAGATACCATAATCTGAAGGTACATGGCATACCTTAATCTGTTGATTTGGGATAATTTCCCCAGTTTGTTCACTGCTTGTTTTCAACCACTTTGTTCCATTAACAGGCTGAGGGTCTCACACTTGATGGCATGTATCACCTTTCCAGACCTTCTAATAGCCAAACATCAATGCCTCAATATGTTAACATGTGTTCTAAGACATGTAGTGATAAAGAAACCTTATTAAATGCAGTTAAAGGCCACACGTATTGTTTTTGAGCAACACTCACTCTTCTTTTTTCATGACCTCTGTCGCTGTACATGGCAGTGCGTACATCTCTAAAGATGGCGGCAAAACAGTTCTGAGATGGGGGGTTGGGGAAACCCCCAGGGCCCTGTTAGTTGATATTGGTGGCTGAATACTAGTGTCAGAAATTAGTTCTTTTTGCAAGCCTTTTGCCTCACTGTTCCTGGGATACTGACAACATTGCTGTCTTTACTCTGACTAGATCAATTGCCCCAAGATGAGGACAATCTAAAGAATCTTTGTCATGACAGTTTATTTTGTTTCGTTGTTTTTTTATTCTTTTTCATGGAACTCCACAGATTTTTGGACGTTATCTAAGAAATATTGCTATAGACAGTTAGGATTCCTAGATTTCAGTTGTGTTTGAGCACCCCCTTTCCATCTCGGGGTAACATGTTTTTGTTGTTAAGTTATATTGTAGTATCATATTGTGTGACTCACCTGCAAAACCAATAACAAAAAAAAAAATGATAAACAGTATTATAAAGTTACAGAGCGCATAATCTCTTACTTATACCAATACCATACAATAAGAGCAAAGGTTGAATAAATAGAAGTGCATCATTTTAACTGTTCTTTATTCTTGATCAGCACTCGATGTATAGAAAGTGCTGTTTTGTTGTACTCCCATGCCCAAGCTGTGCATCATTGGTCCCAAATAAGTCTTATACTTCAATTTTGTTTTACAAAATAATTGGGCAGTGAAGTGGTTAAACAGCGATATCCATGGATTTTTAAAGAAGTGAGGCTAGCAGTTTGTTATTAAAGGACCATTACACAGATAAGATAAACCCCAATATCAACTAACACTGTTTCTTTAAGGCTTACAGCCCCGTTAAGATAATTATTCTAACATAACAATAATACTTTATGATATTAAATCATTGAATCGCAAGCACAAAGAAAATCACGTTTTATCTCTTGCATTATTGAAGACTCCCCCATGTTCCTATGCTGTAATAGCCTCCCTGTGTTATATTCCCTCAGACACAATATGACCCATGCCCCTATTTGATTACTGATAACGTGCAAATGGAAACTGCTAAGGTTTACCAATACAGCCTGCTTTATCTCACGCCACAAGAGAAAGCTTTTAAATGAAATGACAACAGGCACAGTACTGTAGCTCTATTAAAAGGAACAAAGATATATATATTATTATTATTATTATTATTATTTATATAGCCCCAGCTAATTACACAGCGCTTTACAATGGGTGGACTAACAGACACGTAATTATAACCAGACAAGTTGGACACACAGGAACAGAGGGGTTGAGGGCCCTGCTCAATGCGCTTTCATGCTAGAGGGAGTGGGGTATAGTGACACAAAGGGTAAAGCTAGGGTAGAAATGTAGGTTGCACTTGCTAGGATAGTATTCATTGAGGGCTTAGTGTTTTGTTTTGATGACAGTTGCAGGAGAGGAGTCAGGGTGCGGGGAGAGAAAGCTGTTAACAGTTTAATTGATATGTTTTCCAGAAAATTGAGTCTTCAATTAGTTTTTGAAGGAGTGGAGACTGGGTGAAAGTCTAATAGAGAGGGGAAGAGATATATTGTTTTATAATTTAAAATAATTGATGACATATATCATAGTCTAAGTGCATTGTATTGTAATGCTCACAAAAATAGATACATATTTTCAGTGCACGATCCGGCTTACACTTTTTCCATGCGATGTGCCATCTTTGTGCGTCATTTGTTTTTGAGAAAGAGTGCAGATTCATACAAAAGGCCTCAAAACAATACATTGTGTAAATTTTCATTAGTAAATCTTTAAGCTATTGTTTCATCTGTGAATATATAATATATTAGAAGATTGTTTATTTTATCAATATACAATAATGAAAGTATAATATAGCATGTCATCTTAAAGGTACTCCAATGTCTATGACCACTTTTTATTTTTGAAGTGGTCATTGTGATAGAAGTCTGGATGTGCAGTTATTTGTACTTGTGTGCTAGGGGCTAGTTGCAACTCTGTTCCAGACTGCCGTTTGTCAATTAAGTGCATATTTTAAGTTGGTCGTCAGCGTGCACTCACGCCGGTGACAGAAGTAATTTGATTCTTGTGTCTCCCCTTCCTCCTTACTACCTCCCTATACCCTTTGTTTAGTTTTTAGTTTTTTTTCAAGGCTCCCTCCATACTGTCTCTTTTCCTTTATGAATTAACCTGGTTTCAAGCAGACAGCATGTAATATTACTCAAGAGGCAGCAATTGCCTAGAGCACCCGACTTACAAAGACTTCTAATTGAGCTGCATTGGGAAGGCTGTGATTGGACGGACACAGAAAGTCTGGGCGGGGTTAGAAGGGGAGGGCTTCTAGACAAGAGAACGGCAGGTTTTGCAAACTGATTTTAGATATATTCCCAATGAAAAAATTGATAATTAAATGCATGCAAGTTTCATGTCTACTAAATAGTGATTTTTATTTATATTGTATTTGGGCATGGTAGTGTCCCTTTAAAAACAATACCACTAAAATTACAACTTAAACATAAATTAACAAACTCAAACACAAAAGACCAAAACATATTACACTTAAACATGATTACTATGTACGAAAATATATTAAATATATAGATAGAATGTATGGAAACATAGCAAATACAGAGTTTTGATTGGTAGCACATGAAAAGTGCTGCCCTGTATGAATATATTAGCTGGAATTTTGCAGCATATGAATTCTATGCTATTCTAGATTGATTGCCGATCAATCTGAAGAAGTGATGTGTGTCCTGGAAAACATGACTATGGCAACACTGCTTACATATAATTTGACATACAGTAGTTCAATCCTGTAATGATTCAGATGGGTCGGGGCTGTTCTGGTAGTGTGCCTGTAATACCTTTTCTGGCCATGCATAAATTAGAACGTTGGTGCTCTAACTAAATCAGTGTCAGGTTTCACTTGTTTGGCATTGTCCATCAAGTCTCTATAAATACAAAATGCTGCCTCTCCCGTATGACTGAGTGTTGAGTTTGTACGGTTACCCTGCTGGGTGGGCTCCCTGCTTACTGTACTCCAGTCTGAACTCCTGGTTCCTAACTTGGCCTTGTTTTATTGGATTTAATGACACGCTTGCACTGCATTTGCCTTGGCCTTAATAAAACAGTACTTCTTGAACCCAATACACTTGTTGCGTCCAATATATTGGGGGAATTTCTATATGGAGTGGAAGAGCTATAACCCAACTAAACACATCTGGAACTAGGACGAGAGGAGTAAGGAAGGAATGGCGACATTAGCCTAGCAACCTTTGACAACCAGTTGTCCTTCCATTTGGTAGGTACTAACCACTGTGTATCACCAACACCCCAAAAGACTTGCTCTGACCAGGTCGCTTATCCATCACTATTTGGCCCATGTCAAAGTCACTCAGATCTTTTTGCTTGCACATTCTTCCTGCTTCCAACACATTAAATTCAAGAACTGTTTACTTGCTGCCTAATATATCCCACACCATGATATGTACCATTTTAATGATATAATCAATGTTATTCGCTTCACCATTCAGTGGATTTGATTTTGTAGATCGGTGTAGAATCTGCATGTGGGTGACAGCCAGTACTCCTTTTAGAAGCCCAGTCAATTCAAAGAGTCAACATGATTATAGTGCCTACATGGTCCATTTAAACCAGTACATATTTGGGTCATTTTAGAGGTTAGACTTGAAAAGGATCATTGAACAAAGTAAACAAGAATACCCATGTATGCTTAGCATGTAAAAGTTGGCCTCAAGCTGAGAACATTTGGTTATGTTGGCTTGCCCTTTAATACCCTATTAGTATGACACATGCATTTTTTTGTTACAATTACTTGTATGAATAGTGTATCTCACTGTATTGCACTGCAGTACTTTTTAATTAATCTCTCTTATTTTATTCTCCAGAGAAACATACATCCTTTCTGAATACTTTCCAGAGAAGAATATCACACATACCATACAGAAGGGAAGGAAATCAATGGTGTGGGGGAGAGACTTCCCATTGAGCAGTGCAAACTCACAGATGTGTACGAGAGTAAAATATGAAGAAGATCAATATAACTCATAGATCACTGTGTCAGGGACACCAAGCTCTCTCTTCCCATCCCAAATTGCAGTCAGAGTCTTTAGATGTTTTTAAGAAGAAAATAAACCATTTTGAAGAAAATCTATTTTATTTTAGTATTCCTTCACGTCTAAATAAAACTGTATTGAAAATGGAATTTCACAATTTGGGCTTGACTAGTCAAATTGTGACAATGGTATAGTTGGAATTGTCATCATTTATTTATTACAAAATATTAGCAGTTTTTTTTACAAACGTTTTTCAATTTGGTTTCTAATTCACTACAATTCTGTATTCAGTAGATAAACTCCAGTGTATATAAAGAACAATATTCAAATTTAGGAGCCATGTTCCATCTGTTGGGGACTTTTGCAGATTTCAAAAGTTTGAGCCAAGATTTAATAAATAGCTTGGTAAACCATCATTTTCAGTTGTCCCTTGGTATACAAAAAATGTCTGCCACTCATTCCCAGGAATCTTTGCCTAACAGTGCTTGCCACTGTCACAAAGAAGAGAAGTCAATACAGTCTCAAATACTGCAAAACAGAAACTAAACAAGGCTCCATGCTAGAATCTGTCATAATGGAAACATGACCAGGGAAGCACTCCAGATTACAGGACACCAGAGTAGTATTAACCATAAAGAAACCGTATAGGGCCCTTGGCTTTGTGTATTTGCTTGACCCCATTTTACCATCCCTGAAGGGGGCAAGCTCCATGCTGCAAACCTGCCATGGGCCCTGCTGGCATCTTAATCCTCTCTAGGACATTATAAATTTAAGGACAATGAAAAAAAGCATGATCCAACCTGGGATGGGGATAAAGAGGGTGTTAGGACATGGTAAGAATATACAAAGTATAAGACTGGAGATACATAGATTGAGGAAAGAGAAGAACTGAATAAGATAGTCTGCTTGGATGGGAATGCATTTATATACTGTATTGTATTCATATAAAGCTTTGAAATGGCCCTGCACTCAAAATGTAGGTCTAGCTTTAGAAAGAATAAGTTTAATAGTTATAATAGTGACAGAGTTGTAATGCTGATCTTTAGGAACCTCTAACGACATAGAGAAGTAGAAATACCTGTTAGAGTAATCATAGTCTGAAACAAAGTGCAAGTTAAGGGGAACCGATATACACAAAACGGCCAACACCAACCAGGACAAACCTGCTAAAATGGGAAGGTATTCAAAGCTGAGACAAATATTGAGAAGAAAACAGACAATCATAAAGAACGTGCTATTAGGCTATGAAAAACCACCAAAGGCCACGAAAGCATTGAGGAAGTCAGCTTATAACCTACACATTTGGCTGTTAGTGGTTGTCATTTGGCATCACCATAACTTGCTTGCATGACTGCTCTGAAACTGCGATGGATATTTAGCTTCTCCATTAAAAGTAATCAAAGGTTAGGCATAAGAATGATGCTGGAGTTTTGCCAGAAGTAAGTTTGGCAGTCGGAACCCTGACATAGTAACATCTGGCCATTTCCCAACAAATAAATGAAGACATAATTGACTGGCTAAGAAAAATGTCAGCAGACTACACAATAACAAATATAGATATCAGAATGAATGGAGAGCAGAATAGGCAACACGTGTAAGAAAGCAAGACAAGTGTCTTTAAAGAACCTCCGAGACCCAGAATTTCTGTGATATGAGAAGTCTAACTATACATTATTAAAAACCTAGTGGTTTAATACAAAGTTCTGGAAAATGCTGTTATATCCTGGCACTCCTCATTTATTTTAGGACAGACAACGAGGAACAATTCTGAGTTCTGTGTCAGCAGCAGTCTGTCTGCGGTGTTGGTTAGGGATTGTAGTGTGTATGTGTTTCCAGTGGCTGTAAAGTGTGTGCGTCTATGGGCTGTAAAGATTGTGTGTATGTCTGCCTGTCTGTCTAGGAGTAGGGATTCAGAAGAAAGAGAACATGGGTGCATTTGTCTATGGAATGGAATGTATCTAGAAGGTGTACGTGTGCATAGGGGCTTTAGTGTTCTTGTGTGTGTACAGGGGAAATAGTGTGCATGTTAAAGGATCACTATAAGATCAGGAACACAAACATGTATTCCTGACCCTATAGTGCTAAACTCACCATTTAGGTGGGTATTGCCCTGAGCCAGGAAGCCCCTCCAGTAGCCATCTAAGGAGTGGCCACTTGGAGGTGTCCCTAGAGGCAATGTAAACACTGCCTTTTCTCTGACAAGGCAGTGTTTACATGAAAATGCCTGAAGGGAGCTATTATACTCACCAGAACAAGTACATTAAGGTGTAGTTGTTCTGGTGACTATAGTGTCCCTTTAATGAATACGGGCTGTAGTTTGTGTGTATAGGGTAGTGTGTGTTTGGATATGAGATGTGTGTGTGTGTGTGTGTGTATGGAGCTAGTGTGTGTATGTATCCAGGGGCTGTAGAGAATGTTTGTGTGCCAGGGGGATGTAGTATATGTATTTTTATATGAGATCTAGTGTGTCTAGATGGGGTGTGTGCATATGTTTGTATAGGGGCCGTAGCGTATGTATATATATATATATATATATATATATATAAAACCAAACACACTGTAACCACTGCAGTGTACACACCGTACAGCCTTTATTAATAAACACACGCTACAGTCCATATATATGCATATGACAGCCCTTAGGTGTACCCCCTCACCTCCTATGCAGAAAAATTAGAAATATTTTCCACAAATAAAGAATTTATATATATATAAAAAAAAAAGAAACCTAAAAAATGCCTGCCGGGATCTCGCACAAGTGCACCCCCTTCACATTAAAATACTGCAACCCCTTACATAAAATTCATACATCTAAGGGCTGTCATATGCATATATATGGACTGTAGCGTGTGTTTATTAATATAGGCTGTACTGTGTGTACACTGCAGTGGTTACAGTGTGTTTGGTTAGGGGCTGGTGTGTGCGTGTAGGGGTTGGCTTTAGTGAGTATGTATAAGGGCAGTTTTGATCGTAGCGGTTGTATTATTTAAGGGGATTAGGGCTTCAGGGTGCTGTGGGTAAAGATATATATTAGTATACATAAATTATGTTTGCAATTTAAATAAATTTAAAAAAAAATTAAAAAAATTACATTTATCCCCTCTCCCTTCTGTTACCTTTCCCAAGGGAGGAGTGATATTCTGGTGGTCTAGTGGGCTGAGTGCCCTCTCTGGCTGCTGCTTTCGAGGAGCTCCAGCGTTACTGGGATTGTTACCATGATAACCCGTAGCAACGCTCTCAGAAACAGAACAGAGCACATGGCCCCCAGCCGGAGATGAAATCCACTGCTCTTTGCACCACACTGCTTGTCTGTGCAGTGGGCCAGTGAGGGAGATTTCTATCTCCTCACTGGCCCATCAAGAGACATCGTTACACGTTTGGGCTGTGCTCACTTAGTGTCAGCCCTGCGTTTGCCAGCCTGGAGAGATCTTTTGACCTCCCTGGTCGACCTAATCCCAAGCCATCGCAGCTCACTAGGCATTTGCCCAATGGCCAGTCCGGGCCAGTGTCCCGTGTACCCCCTCTATAGGAACATAGATCTTTGAGAAAACAACATGAATTTTTATTAGAAACAAAGGTCCAGGCATTCAATGGTTAATCCAATGAAGGCTTTATTTGTTTGACTAAGCTTGCGATTAGAGGTTATGCCACCTTCGTTCATTAATTTTTTTTAGAGACAGTACCAAACTCAAAGCCTTTCATATATCATGTGTTATTGTATTTTTAATTTTAGAATGCTTTGTTCTTAGCAATGGCAACAATCCAGTTATAAAAAAGTTGGGAGGTATCTTTGTGTCTTTAAAATATTTGGATACAAACGTGTTCTAATGAGGCTTCAGGGCCATAACAAAAATCCTTTATCCCAACAGGAGTATCCCACACACTTGTATCTGTGATCTTTTGTGGATACAAGCCAAGTCTGAACAAATGCACACAGCTCACACTTTTGTTCTATGTCTCACACAGTTACTTTTGTCCCTGGTCTGTTTGAGCTGAACCAGACAAAACACAACGCTCGGACTGACGTAATCACAAATTAATATTTAAAGCACAGGCCTGATATTTTAGAAAGTGTTGACTGGTGAAACAAAGACTTTACTGATTTACTAAGTGCATCAACTTCCTTTCTCATTATATTTTACTATACACCAGTAAGCTCAAGGTCGGAAGTCTAGACAATGTCAGCTGTAGAAGAGCTGGATTTCATTATCCCCACTTTAAATGGTTAATTCTAATGCTAGGTGTGTACTAAGTTTAGTCTTTGACGTCATCGTTATTATAAAATGCATCCCAATAACACTTTTTATAGTAGTTTTATCTCCCTCCTGAATCCACAGGGTTTATTGATAATATCATGTACCATAACAATGAATATATTTTGCGTGTAGTGCATTCCAACAGGGTTATGAGAATTCAAAGTAAATTTTAAATTTAAGACCAGAGTAGCTGAGATGGAAGCATAACTGACTCAATGTTTCCAGTTTGATTAGTTTTACCTAGAATTTCAAAAACACTTTGAATTGTGAAAAATCCTGCAAATATTCATTATCCTTAGATTTCCTCACCCACTACCTGATTTTGCTAGTTTAGTTAATACTGAATTCTGGTATTGCCAATGCCAAACATAATATAGAGGCTATTACTGATCGTCTACAGAAAAAAACCACTGTACAATAGTGTAATACAACAAAAATTAAATAGTAATGCGCCAGATTCAATTGCACTCACAAGATGAAGACTTGTAAAATCGCCTTAGGGTGCCTCCCCTTAGATAGTTGGGGGGTTGATCCATCCAAGACTCCTTCTCTACTTTTGGTTACATCACCAGAGTAATCTGCTTTATTGGTATATTTAGGATAAAAATAAAATACAAACAGTCCTACGCGTTTTGTCTTGCACAAGACTTCCTCGGGGACCCAATTATAAAACAAATGCAAGTATAAAAATAATCCTTACAAAGGACAAAAGCAGCATATTACCTTCCCCTGAGTCCTTCTTTATATATGGCCTTCCTCCAGTCTCATTGGTGATCCAGTGGTCACTTCCGATACATCACTTCAGTAGTCGCGTCTGGATGACGTGTGCATTCCAATAGGCGGCCATCATGTATTCCACATAAATCGCAGTTTGTGGTCTCCAGCTGCAATCTGTGATGCACTGTGTAACGGGCCGTTTTGCACACAAGAGGTTAAAAACCGTTTAGGCGATATTCCCCTTTCAGATGTACAGGTAGCTACTGCAATCACCAATCTCCCGAACTGCAGACACATGAATACTCAAACTCCCGAACTGCAAACACATGAATTAACCAATCTCCCGATCTGCAAACACATGAATTAACCAATCTCCCGATCTGCAAACACAAGAATTCACCAATCTCCCAAACTGGAACCAGGGGAATGCTCCAAACTCCCGAACAGGAAACACACAAATGCTGTAAGCAGCCGAACAATAAAAACCATATGAACAGTTTACACTCCTGGCAGTCGCACTGTAACAGCATACAATCCAATTCCCCCCAAGAACGAGACGACACTTCGTTTGAGGGTCAAGCAGAACTGATTTACTGGGGCTACCTGCCCGGCTTTTATGGACACTCCCCTAGGGGACCAGATGGAAGACTGGGAAACATATTGGCCCTTAGCCAATCACAGACATACACCTTTAAACACACCCACAATGCATTACAACCCCTCCCCTCTATCCTGGAGATAATTGGGAAGTAATCCAATTATCTCCCAGGACAGAGGCAAAACTCCATTGAGCACATGTTAACAAAAAGACGACACACTCCAGTTCCAAGGTGGTCCATCGATCGGTACTTTGTTCGGTAGATTGAATCTACCGAACACCCCGGCAGAAAGGCACGAATACGCCTTTCTGCAGGGAAAATAAAAGGGTTGAACTGCTGGGCCATAGTCTAAAGGGAGCAGGCGAGCAACCAGGCTTCTCCAGTGCACAATGACGAGGTTGGTTCCGCCACACACTGTGTTTTCTGACACCTTTCTATCATGGCCAGCATTATGAATTTGAGCAATTTAGGCTACAGTTGCTCTTCTGTGTGATCGGTTCAGATGGGCTATCCTACGCTTCCCACGTGCATCAGTGAGTCTTGGGTGCCCATGACGCAGACCCCTTCCTTGCACCACCAATGGTAGGTACTAACCGTTGCATACTAGGAACTCCCCTCTTGATGACTCTGACCCAGTTATCTTGTCATCACTATATGGCCCTGGTCAAAGTCAGTCAGATCTTTTCACTTGCCCATTTTTCCTACTTCCAACACATGAAATTCAAACATGGTCTGTTTACTTGCTGTCTAATATATCCTACCTATTGACAGAGACCAAAATACAAAAAAATACATAATACAAAAAAAATATAAAAATCACTATTTAGAAGAGATACCCCATTGAAAACCATGTATGCATTTGATTATGCAGTTTTTCATTGGGGGTCATATCTAAAAACAGCTTGTAGAAGCTGAAGCTATCTTGTCTGCAGCCTGTGTAAGCCCTCCCCATCTACCCCATCTAGTCTTTATGTGGCTGTCCAATCACAGATTTCCCAATGCAGATCAATAAGACATATTTGCAAGGATATGGATAACAATAGGGATACAGCTA